AAAAGAGAGGGCAAGTTTCCCAAGACGCGTCAGCTGCTGCTGCGGTCACCTAGACATCCTGGTAGTCAAGCTTTCTTTTCAAGATAGCTTATTATCTAGAGAGAGAAAGAGAGAGAGAGGGGGTAAAAAGACATGAATTAATTAATATATATATTCTGGAATGTGCAGCTGAAGACAAGGGGCAGCAAAGCAAATGGCAACCAAGAATTACAGAAAGAGGGCGGCAAAACAAAGAATAATTATTTGCAATTGCGAGCATATATAAATATAAATATATATACTTACTAAATATATACATGTCTAGAGAGAGAAAGTAGCGGGCAGAGCCGCAGTTAGAAAAGAGTGTAGTTTGTCTTTTACTTGCTAATAATCAAAAATAGGGTTATCTCTTTCTCTTCTTCCCATGCTGCTGCTTCTGCTCTCTTACTATTCTTGGTTTCCGCCCAATTTCATTTTCTTACTTACGTCTATGCATTATATTGCACCTTCATTATTCGTTAATCATTGATATGATTTATTATTATTATTATTATTTGTGCAGAAATTGTGATATGAATAGTGTGATTAATCAAATTTTATATTTCAATTTTCTAAATATAATTTATAAATTTTCAAAATCACATGTGAATTATATATATATATGGTCAATTTAAAATTTTCAATTGATGTTGCATGCTCTACTAAATTGCGTTACTAATGTAAAACAAAATTAACCACAAAATAATTCTACAAAAAATATTCATAAAAAAATCTCCAAAAAATAGCGTTTCTAATACTTGTTTATTGTATGGGCCTGAGTTGTTCCAAATATAAAGGGATAATGGACTGGTAGAGTAATGTTTTGTTCCAAATGTTGCTCACGGAGATTAAATATTTTTGGGTAAATCACACCTATTCCATGTAGAATTGATAATTACAGTTATACTCCTGAAACAATTACAGGAACTAAGATTTCATGTCCTGGTGACCAATATGCACTATGTTTATTTTCCGCGGGCCGTTAACGCTACCATATACGAAAATTTATAATTTGTATATAAATACAATAAGGACCGATGAAATATTGGGGGAGCTATGTCGCCCACTAGTTCTATGTTGTATCCACCACTTCCTGAAACTAATAATCTGTTATAACTCTTAACGGAATAACTTTTCCACTATATTGTTCCGTTAGGGTTTCTAACAATGTTTCAAGGGAGTTATTTGTAATCACCGATACCACAAAGACATTAAAATTATTTTAACATACCTCAGAAGTGTAAGTGTAATTTACCAAGTATTATATAGCAATTACCTTATTCTCAAATAATATACAGCATTTTGACAAAAAAACAAAAACAAATACATCATCATAAAATCACATAATTAAGATTATATATAATTAGGGTTGTTCAGAGGTTGGGTCGTTTGAATATCGGCCCGACCCGACCAACCGATTATTGCAAAAATATAAAACCATCGCTAACCCAAACTATTGTAAGTCGGGTAACTGTTGTTGAAATAGTTCGATTGCAAAATATCGATCGATATCCAAAAAAACAACAAAATATTTTGGCATATAATAAAGGCAGCCGACTAAACTAAACCAATTCAATTAAAAATTTAATACTACTAGGCTGCTGCTGAAGTTTCTGGATGAAGACCAATCAATAAGTCCAAGAGGATAAAAAGAAAAACAAATCATTCTTCAACATACAAATTTCCAGAACTTTCAATAAAGTCTGAGATAGCAAGCGCCACCTTTATTCTTGTTGTTATATTAAGTATAAAGGTAAATTACAACCTCGTCCTTGAGATAACGTCTATTTACGAAAAAATCCCTTCATTTTTTTCTGTAATTAGATTCACCCGTACAATTTGTAGATTTCTAACATACTGACACCCTTTCATAGAAGAGAATGTACAAACTTTAAAGAGATGTGGCCGGATGTAATTTGTCAAAACAAAGGGATTTTTCTGTAATTACATGTTACCCTAAATTAAGTTGGCTTGTAAATGATCATTACACTTGCATTCGTCTGAGTTCTAATAACAGAATGCATTATATTATCGGAACTAGCTAATATATATGGTACAAATGCTTATTTCATGCTACACCAAAAAAAGATATATAATTTATTTTTGTTTAATTGTCTCCAAATAAAAACACACACATCTATATTCATGATATCATGATATATGTGTGGATGAATAGTAAAAATCTATCGATCTAAATTTTATCGGGTATACAACATAAATAGTTGACCTAAAATATGAGGGGTAATTCCGTCTTATCAACGGCACATCAGTATCTAATTATATTTAAAACAAATTTGGTTTAGCAAAAGAATGATATTTGCATACAATTCAACTCCCGTGCTTTGAACAATTAATTAATTAATTGTATGATCATTTACATTGGTAGATTCCTTTC